ATGTACAGATCTTTCATTGCTCATACAGTTAACACACAATGTACAGATCTTTCATTGCTCATATAGTTAACACACAATGTAAAGATCTTTCATTGATCATACAGTTAACATAGAGTGTACAGAACTTTCATTGCTCATAGTTAAATTTTTTGGCCAAATGACGCCAATGATAAAATCTGAATTAATAAAACAAACAAAAACATTTCTTATAAACAGAAAACGTTTTACTTGCTCATATCAATGTAAAGTTATGTTTCGAAATGATAGGTAATATCTATTTTGACATTAGTAGAAAATACAGTCCCCCGTATTTATGGAAAAATAATCTATTTTAAAGCTTTCCTTATCTATAAGTTAGCTGTTTTTTTTATTTTACAAAATGTATTAATTTCTTCAACTAGTCGTTACCGTAATAAATATTCTTCGATCAAAGCCACTAAGTTCTGAATTCAAAATGGCATCAAAGCGAGGCTGGGTAAACGCTGGCTTGTTGTCGTTAACGTCAAGTAGACGAAGCACAAGACGAGTCACATTTCTGTTTCCTCGTCCTAAATCGTCACGTGCTTCTATAGTTAGCGTATACTCTGGCACATTTTCTCTGTCTAGGCCACTAGATGACGTCAGAACAACTTCTCCAGTTTCAGGGTTTAACTCCATTCTAATGTAATATATTGAAGAATACCAAATTGTGAGTAATTTTGAAAGTATAAACGTCTTTTCCCAGTAGTCTCATTCAAGGAACACAAATTGGTGAGGTTAAAGTTCGATATTTGTGCTTGGAATGAGGACCATACGCTGTAAAATGTCCTTTCAATGCCTTAGACCATTCGTAAATAAAAATAAATTAACATCATTAGTACATCATTTATTATTTAGAATTTCTCATGTGTGTATGTGATCTAAAAAACAGCTTTTGATGGAAAACGATGTTCCAAAAAAATATTTGATATCATTATGTTTTTATTTTTTAAAATCTCATGTAACTATCCTCATTTTATTCAATATATATAAAATAGTAATTTACTGAGCTTCATACACATTCATACTAATGGAAATTAATATCCCAACAACAAGAAAATATTGTGTTAACAATACGTTTATCAACCATTTTTGTCTTTTTTAATATTAGAATAACGTAAGAGTGGGCGTATATCTAAAATTTATTTATTTTTAGACTGACAATATGTGATGAAGATAAAGTCTCTTGTGAATTACCTTAAAATAACTATCAGGAGCTCAAACTTTTCAAGTATTTGATAGAGATTCTAACAAAACCTATATTTCAAGGAAGTGAAATTTGTATAAAAGGACAAATCTCTTTTTAAACCACAAAAGATCTAAACTCAGAGATCTAAACGCTATGCGTTTTGAAATATCATTTATAATAAGAAGGCAAAAACGATTTATATGCATAAGTCAAATTTTTTATTCATGGTGGAACATACTACATGTTTCGACAGAACACTGGTCTGTCTTCTCCAGGTATGATCAGTACTAAGGAATATAAGACTTATATATCATTACAAAGACAAAAGATCAAATGTGACGGAAATATAAAAAAACTACTTATGTTTATAAATCGTTGTTTGCCTACCTATCATTATATTAGCCTAATTTGCTTCCTTACTTAAATAACATATATATTTTTTAACAAGTTTACTTACAACTGAGCGATTGGTCCATTGATGGCTGTGTAGCGAATTCTACCATAGTCGCCGGTGTCGCTATCTGTTGCCTGGAATGGAAAGCATTTTATCAGCTAACAGTAAGAGTTTCATCATTATTCTTCGTGATATGATGCTTATACTTGTTCTGTATATGGGTTATATTTTTCTCTCTCCCCACTTTATGGTGTAAGGTGTCTAATACTATCTACCATGGGTCTTCTACAATCATTTTTTTTCTCTTCCATATTAGGTAAAGAAAACTGAAATTATACAAATGTTTCTATTTAAAGGACATACTACACATTGGATGGAATTTACTATAAGGTGAACGAATGATGATTGATGTTACCGCTGTTGTCTAAATTGTTATTTTGAAGGTCAGGTTCTCTTTGGACTTCCAATACTGTTGTTAAAATGCTACTAATGATATTCTTGCATCAGGTTTATGTATTACGTTTTGTAAACACTGATTTATCTTCATGGCCAGGTCCTTGAATAGTATTCTAGTATCATTTAGTGTTGTTTTACTCTTCTCTTTATCCCATCACAAACAGTTCATACTGAAGCATTTCGTTTCATCTGTTAACAAACAGTTCAAAAGTAAAACGTCTCTTTATCACACAAGATAAATCTACCAACGCGTATTTGACATAAATACCTTTTTAAGTACACAGGTGGTATCTAAATCTAAGTGATAATTTTACTGTCTAGTGTAGGTGGTCTTGTTCTGATAATAAACATTCAGTTGGGAGAAAGATACTTAACTCTATCATCATCATGTATGATTTAGCGATCTATTTAGTTAAATCATTTTTACATAGATGTTTTATGAAAGTTAAATCTAAGTGATAATTTTACTGTCTAGTGTAGGTGGTCTTGTTCTGATAATAAACATTCAGTTGGGAGAAAGATACTTAACTCTATCATCATCATGTATGATATAGCGATCTATTTAGTTAAATCATTTTTATATATATAATCTATTTATTTATAATCTATAAATGTTTGGTCGTTTGGTAATATGTTTGCATATTTCTGCAAGAATGTAGACTTTGTGTACCTTGGTACTGTAATTAGCAGTGTATCTTGTTTGTAGTTTTTTGAGATGTGTATTTGCAACATTTAACCATGCATATTGAATTACAGGTTTAATATATTGTTTATATATATAGTTGTTGCTCCTGTGTTTTTGCCTGTTAATCTTTTGACATAGTTTGTTCGTTGCCACTCTTTATTCCTGCAATGTGTGTATTCCTAATAATTTGGCTGATGGTAGGACATCAAGAAAAGCCCCTTTCAGATATAATTTGGGTGGGTTTCTGAGAGTTTCTGTTGATTTTCAAAACAAAATTAGTTTTGTTTTGGGAACATTAATCTTTATCCTATATATTTGGCAGTATTCTACAAGCTGATTTAATACTGGTTGTAAATTGGTAGATCCTACTGAGGGTGTAACCAGTTCTTCCATATTGCCATGTCATCTGCGGATTGAGAAGTTGAACTAAAGTAAGGATCATTTAAGGGCATGCTGCTTACATGTATGATGAAGAAGGTGGGACTAACTATCCCTTCCTGAGGAACATTTGTTTCAGGAGTAAAATAGCCCTCAACATTTTCTATTATCCAGGAACTTTGATAACAAACGAATAACTCCCATTGGTAAATCCATTTCTTTTAACTTAAACCTTAATCCACTGTGTAGAATGTTATCTCAATATCGAGAAAGGAAGTGACAGTATATTTCATTTTATTAAAGCTATCTACTGTGGTTTCAGTTAACCTTACTAAATGATCAGTTGTTTGCCGAAATTTTCTGAAGTTATTTTGAACTTTGGTAATTTTGATGCAATCTCCAGAAAAGTTGAGATTCTATTACTAATTATTCTAAAACTTTGCCTAAACAATTAGTTAAACTAATCAGTCTATAACTGCCTGGCTTATTTGCTGTTTATTCCTTCAAGAACATAAGAAAATCTGCTTGCTTCCAAGAGGCGGGGATATATCCAGAGTTAAGGATAAATTAAATAACGTGATCAAACAATTTCTGAGTACCTTTCTTTAATAGAATAGCTTGTATTCCATCTTCACCCAGTGCTTTATTTTGGTTTGTTTTATATATAAAATTATTTTAGTTATTGTACTTGTCATTTTAAGTCCATAGTCATTGTTTATATTTTAGATTTGGAGATTTATTGAAGGTGCTGGGAATTTTGGTGTATATAAATATTTCTTTCCACAAATTCGTTTACATTGTTATAAAAGTGACTATCCATATCTGGTTCTTCGTGTGTTTTAAATTGTTATAAAAGTGACTATCCATATCTGGTTCTTCGTGTGTTTACATTGTTATAAAAGTGACTATCCATATCTGGTTCTTCGTGTGTTTTAAATTGTTATAAAAGTGACTATCCATATCTGGTTCTTCGTGTGTTTTACATTATTATAAAAGTGACTATCCATATCTGGTTCTTAGTGTGTTTTAAATTGTTATAAAAGTGACTATCCATATCTGGTTCTTAGTGTTTTAAATTGTTATAAAAGTGACTATTCATATCTGGTTCTTCGTGTGTTTACATTGTTATAAAAGTGACTATCCATATCTGGTTCTTAGTGTGTTTTAAATTGTTATAAAAGTGACTATCCATATCTGGTTCTTCGTGTGTTTACATTGTTATAAAAGTGACTATCCATATCTGGTTCTTAGTGTGTTTTAAATTGTTATAAAAGTGACTATCCATATCTGGTTCTTCGTGTGTTTTAAATTGTTATAAAAGTGACTATCCATATCTGGTTCTTCGTGTGTTTTAAAAGTTTGATTTAATTGTTCTTTAAAAGCTTTTTGTTTATTTGTATAAGCTATTTCATTATTATGGTTTTAAGGTTGGATATTTGTGTGTTCTGATTATTACTGAATCTTTTCAAATGCGTCCAGAATTTCTTAGCATCTGTATAATAATTTAATTGTAGACAATAATTGTCCCAGCTATCCTGTCTTAGTTGTTTATCTCCATTTCTTATTTTATTTTTTAATGAGTTAACTTGGAATTAAATATTTGGGTCTCTCGTGTCTATATATTGTCTTCCGAGTTGACGTCGTATTTTAATCGTTTGTAATTTGTGCATGTGGTTTAGTATTGGAGTGATATTTTTGTTGTTTAGCCATTGATTTCTCAGCAGCTTTTATTAGGCACTCTGAAATTGTTTGCCAATACTCATCAATGTCTGATGGTTTTTCTGCAATTTCAATTCTTGAATTTGGCAATAGATCATCTAGGTAGTTAGCATATTTAGGCCAATTTTCTTTCTGACGATTGGACTATTTTCTGGTGTATTGTTGCTAGTATTTTGAGTTTCATTTAATTCTTGTTGTTGTTTTTGACTTGATTGCTGGGTATCTGACTTAACTGTACTTGCTTTTTGTGTATTATTTATGGGTTTGTTCTGCATATGTTGTCGTGGCTGTAAGACTGGCGTAGGTAAAATGGTTTTTTGATTTGTTGTGGTTGTTTTGTTTGCGGAGTTTGTTCTGTAATATTGTTATTTATATTATAAATTATTATTTTTACGTCCTTGTACTTTTGGCAACCTTTGTAGATTGCCGAGTGTTGTTTATTGCAGTTGCAACATAGCAGTGTTTCATTTTATTTTATACAGTGGTTGTGAGGTGGTTACCACCACAACCGACACAAAGTGGGAGAGATTTACATGCAGCAGCTACATAATCGTAACATAACATTTTTGAGAGGTTTAGCCTGCCTGTGATGAGATGTTAGGCTTGAATTGGGTTTAGCAAGGAGAACGAGCTTGTAGTCATTGGAGAAGCAGGTGAAAAACACACCTTTCTTCAACGACAGTCTGAGCGGGAATCCCGACTGATGTTTCTGAATGATTGGTTAGTTTGAATTTCGCGTAAAGCTAATTGAGGGCTATCTGCACTAGCCGTCCCTAATTTAGCAGTTGTTAGACTAGAGGGAAGGCAACTAATCATCACCACCCACCGCCAACACTTGGGCTGCTCTTTTACCAATGAAGAGTGGTATTGATCGCCACATTATAACGCCCCCACAGCTGAAAGGGCGAGCATGTTCGGTGACGGGATTTCGAACCTGCGACCCGTAGATTGCGAGTCGAGTGCCCTAAATGCTGAATGATAAAATCTGAAACTGACTGTCTTCAGGATCTTTATTGCCAAAGTATCAACAAGTACGTCTCATAATTCAGAGTATTTTAGAGCTGTTAATGACATTTCAATATTAGTGATCTATATTTGACATCTTATGTTAAAACTGGCTCACCTGTATTTTAGCTATAAAAGTACCAGGCGGAGCATCTTCCGGTATCTTAGCCACAAATACGTTTTTCGTAAATTGAGGAATATTGTCGTTCGAATCGAAAATGGTAATCCTAATCTTTGCTCTGGCTGAATATCTTTCAGCACTTCTTGTTTCTCTTGCTACAATCTAAATACAAACAAATTACATTTTATTTGGTGTCAAACAAACTACCACGTTAACTAAACTTATACTGATAAGCACATAACGAAACACAAGCCAGTTAAGCAGTATAGTATCTAACTAAACACTACATAACAAAATAATTATCATCAGAAATTGATATTACTGAGTGTTCCTTGTAAAATAAGTTGAACAACAATGTCAACAAAGTGTTAAAATATTTATTTTTCCCATTTCATTCATTGTTTACTTTTAAAGTATTAATGTTCGATCGTTAAAATGTTGGGTTAAATCTATTTTCTGAATAAATCTTTCTCTTATAACCAGTTGGTGGGGAATTACGTTTAATCATTTAAATCTGCTTTAATCTTGTTTTTGGTGTATCCAATATTTACTTTAAAGCGACTAATAGTTGACAAAAAGTAAGGAACAAGGTGGTTATATTTTCTCCTTTGAAACGGAGAACAAGTGTGGATTCACTGGTTATCTGGTCTTTTTAATTTAGAAACAAGCTTTGTATTAAAACTTAATTCATCTAGACAATCTCAAAATTCACGATCTACAATAAGCGCATTCCCTGGTTATAATCAATCTTTCAACGATTTTCATCTTTCGAGGTTTGATCCTTGTATCGTTATGATGTCCATCTTCCTGGTTGGAGGTCAAAAAACGGTTAGAATATAAGCACTCCAACACTTGAGCTTTACTAGTGGTCTATCTTATAATGTACAATAAGGATTTGGTGCTGAAAGCCGAAGTGTGAACTTTTGTGCATGTACGTGTAAGTTCCAGCACCAACAATAATGGCAAAATCCTGTCAATCAGTAAAATGTTTCTTTGCAAGGGATTTTGTAAGTTCCTTGATAAAACCATCAGAAGTTATACCAAAGTTAGCTCTAGTGCTGTGAATGGACTTTTCTTCCATTTTGACGGTTGCAAATAATGGAAACAAACAATTCAAAGTAGTCGTAATTGATTGTATTAACATTATTGTTACACCGAACTGATTCTTGGTGTTACCCGTTACGATAATTCTCATCCTCAAAACGTCATGGTGCTTTAAAATCTAAACCCAGTCTGAGATAACCAAGCAGATATTTTATATCTGAACAGTTAATGTATATCTTCATCTAAAGTTGTATTGCTGTCCACAGTCTCGCATCTATACAGGTTACCACCTACGTTGAGCACTAGCTGACAATCCCAGGGGTTGTGCCGCCTGGCGCTGACCTCGCAGGAGGCAGAAGGGTACCAGTGGCATTCTGGCTACGTACTGTCATATTAATTCCCCATCTTTTGTTTTCCCTAGCTACACCATCCAAATGTTTTGGACAACATCTTTCGCCACAGAAAACAGTAACTCTCTTTTTCACTACGTCTTTATGGCGCTTTGAACTACTAATACCCGATGACCTTGTAACACATTCTTCGTCAATACGTCAATTATAAGGCAGAGATGCACTATTTATCATTCATCACTTGTTGCACATGCGGCATCTAATCGTGTTCGTCTCACAAACGTGTAAATATATCAGTGTATGTCGTAGTTTTAAAGAACCTGTGTAAGCATACTCTCCATAAAAACTCCCTTGGAACTTCGGGATATATATATAGTCTTCAGTGGAACAAACGTGTAAATATATCAGTGTGTGTCGTAGTTTTGAAGAACCTGTGTAAGCATACTCTCCATAAAAACTCCCTTGGAACTTCGGGATATATATATATATATATGTATAGTCTTCAGTGGAACAAACGTTACACCAAACATTAATTTATTAACCATAACACTTACAATGGCCAATTTAGAGCACCGTACTTTTCTTATTTATTACTCTTGTCTTTGTTCTTGTTTCTCTTTTTTTTTTTTGTTTCCCCCCAGTGGCACAGCGGTATGTCTGTGGATTTACAACGCTAGAAACCGGATTTCGATACACGTGGTGGGCAGAGCACAGATAGCCCATTGTGTAGCTTTGTGCATAACTTCAAACAAACCTTCTTTTTTATGACTTTGATCTTTATATAAATTTTCACAAGGTCGTAAAAATCAAATATCAAAAACTTTTATTAACTATATAAGCCACTGCAGGTGTTAACTTTCTCCCACACCAAATGAATATTCAATCGCTGGGAAAGTATGTCTGGAAAAAATAATCCCATTAAGCCTTTGTAGAACCACGCAATACTTCGAACCAGGTTAAAACGGATACATATAATAGGAACTAATCAACATTATCAGCAAATAAACCATCACAATGTGAAAAACAATCATGCAACATACACAGTAGCACCACAACCCTAATATAAATGTTTGCTTTGTTAAAGTTTCAACACAGCTTGCAACCTAATTACTTGACGTCCATTCGTACCTGACATTACAGTTTCAACACAGCTTGCAGCCTAATTACTTGACGTCCATTCGTACCTGACATTACAGCTTCAACACAGCTTGCAGCCTAATTACTTGACGTCCATTCGCACCTGACATTACAGTTTCAACACAGCTTGCAGCCTAATTACTTGACGTCCATTCGCACCTGACATTACAGTTTCAACACAGCTTGCAGCCTA